TTAGAAACGGCGACATTACCCTCGTTCCGATCTATCTGTTTCAACAAATAGAAAATTAGAAGCCTTAGATTAATTAGTACACGATTCACTTTTACAGGACATCTGATAGCTACCGCATTATTAATGAAAGAACATTTTATCGAATATCAAGAAAACTTTCCTGATCAATTGCTCTCTGATACAGTTAACGCATATCAATTTCTAGAAAATATCGTCTAAAAACAGAACTGCAAGTACTTTACGAAAGAGAAGAGTTGCAAACCATTTCTGGAGCCATTCCTCTGTTAACATTAGTTTCGCAGGAAGATATGAAGTACACTTTTCAAGAAACTATTAAATTATTGGAAGTTTTAGTGACAACATCCCAAGCTGAAAAATGTTTATCTGTGTTAAAGAGGATAAAAACTTTTTTACGCAACTCAATGAAAGAAGAAAGACTAAGTGCGCTAGGAATGTTATCAGCTGAAAAAGTGTTTCTAAATAACATTGACGACTTTAATAGACGAGTGATTGACCTTTTTGCTAATATAACAAAACGAAAACTAGACTTCAAATATCGTTCAATGTAAAATATTCTTTATTTTACTGTATAGGTTTAGAGTGCAATAAATTTCTATTCAAAGCTAAATTCTGGTAAGTTTTTATGTTATTTATTATTTTATAAAAATGATAAATGCGCACATCAATATACTTTAAAATATTACCCAAGATTTTAATTTTAATTTAACGAATTAAACATTAATTCTAAGCCATAGGGGATTCCTCACTCGACCATTCACTGCTGGGTTCTAAATAACAGTGCTGTTCCTAAAGTGACGCTGGGGAAATAGTTTCAAAGCCTACACAGAACACGAGATGTCAAAATCTGGGGTAGGCACCCAAAAATGTTAATCCATGGCTCCATGCAAATTTTCTAACGCATGTTTAGTTAGGGCAGTGGAATTTTCACTATTAGTTACGATATTATTTTTATGGTTTTTTATTCTTTATTTATTCTAACGATTTAGTTGTATAGTTAGGTTTATGAGCAATTTTTATATTATATTTAGACACTTGTTCAAACACGTGTTAGAAAATTTGCAATATTTCAATTTCGAAAATGTAAGAATTCTCGAAAACGAACCAAATCTCAACAAAAGAACAATCCTTGAGATGATACATATTAAAAAAAATAACTCTGTAAATAATAAAACGGACATAAAAGATTATTATTTTAATATTATTAAATAATTGTAAGCTTTCTAATCCTTAACTGTAACGCCACTGGTAATTTTTAACTTTGTAAAAACTCATCTTTTTGTTTCACTATTTTATCAATCACACTGAAACAGAAAGATGGGGTTTCTGTTATTTTAAAAATTTTTAAACTGTACATAACCGTCCCCATGTTTTATTAAATTTTGACTGCATCCGAAGATGGAAATTTTTCTAAAACATATGTAGTGCTGTGCTAAACGATAGAAAATAAAAACATGACCGAATAAACCAAGGAAATTTTTATTTATATAAAAAATACTTTTTGTTATTTCAATAAAAAAAAGAAACAAAACACTTTTATTATTATACTTTTGAAAATATAATAGAAAGATTTGATATTAACAATGAAAATCACTTCTTTTGCTGTAATAGCATTCCAATTTTATTATATTAACAAAAATTTGTTCTGGTGATAACGCTTCTTCTTATTTGTTTGACACTTCGTATTTATAACAATTTATTTAAATAAGTGATATTTATATTAAATAATAATAATTGTGAATAACACAAACAAGACGACAACCTTTAAAATTTTGATCATGGCTTAAATGTATTTTGAACAAATAAGTTATTCCAATAATTTTTCCAAAGAGAGTGTTTTGTTGGTTTAGCAAATATATTATTAAGATTTTGTACTTTGTTATTTTCTATTTTGTTAATGTAATTAAATTTCCGTCATGACAACAAAAATTCTTTTCGATTTCCTAGAAGAACAATGACGGGAGTCCAAATTTTGACTTTCAAGGCCTATAAATCTTCAATTGTTTAAAAGAATAGAAAATAAGTAATACTATCTAAAAATAGAACATCGATTGTTTCCAAACTGTTCCATAACACTGGTGAACGAATGAAGGAATTTGTTCTAGTATAATCATATAGATTATAGGCCTTCTATACGATGTCACAGGAATGGCTTTAGGAAGGATTAAGAGACCTGGGATAGAGATTAGAATTTGTGTCTACGTCTTTAAGTATCGGAATCTGATTGATTTCAAGTTTAGGAATTCGAATATCGAAACAATGTTCCAGGTTCGATCCTAGGTCGGTGCACCCATTTTTTCTTTTTTTCAATTTCAGCATTTTAATTTTTCTTTAGTTTGTTTTCACTTTGAATAGATGTAATTTTCCTAATTTAATAAAGGAATTATTGTTCCTTAAGGTCTCAGTTTTAAGTTTCATATTATTACATTTATTTGAATTTGCAATTTCTGCGGAATTATTAATTTTTACTTGTGTCATTGTTCTTCCAGAAAAGCGATTTGTCAATATTACAGAATATTTTTATCAATGTATCCCTCATTTTTCGGAAATTGCGTTTTTGATATTATTTTGTTAATTATAATTATTGTTCTCATAATCATCTAAAGTTTTTTCTAAACTCCGCAGGTGCGCGGTCGTGAATTAATTTTTGGAAAGGTATGCTGTCGTTTTTATTTTCTGCGCACAATGGTCATATTTTTTTTTAATTTCATATTATTTACAAAAGAAACGCATCTAAAAATGTAAAAATCCAATTATACTGACTGACAAAAAAAGGTAAACACCCTTATGTTTATCCGATTATAATATTTGTTTATATGTCGATGTACGTATCTTGCCACGAACAACATGTGATTACATTTTCAAGTTTATCTGTTAAGTATTTGTGGTCTCTGCAAGGTCGTTTAGTGATAAAGGTGCATTCAGTTGTCGAAAGTTGAATTCTAATCTGAGCAAAACCTTTTGTGAATTTATCGGAATGCTATGCTCTCTACCTTTCCAATAAGCCTTCTTTCCCTTTTTGAGGTTATAAACTTGGCTATGACAAAATCGCCAACTTGAAATCCTTTGGGTCTGGTATTATTTCTTAGGGAGCATGGAATGATTCGTTATCATCTTCCTATTCTTGGCAAGTAAGTTTTTTCCCAATCTCCTTTTTTGGAGACGACCGTCTCGTTCACATTCTAAGGTTATTCTCTGTCAAACAGTTAATTGATTATCATGTCTGCAACGGTAATGCTTTTGCCATGAACAACATTGACCTTTTTCCCCTTTTTGAGGAAGCATTGCCAGATTGTTTTAACTAATCCAGATATTCAATAATTGCTTTATTCCCGGCTGCTTTTTTGGATCTTCTTCATTCTCGCCTGGTGCATTTCTAGGTATTTTGTCCAAAAACCTGTTTGGATTATAGCTTCAAAGCCAGCTTTGGAATTATCTGTTGATTTTATTCCAATTTGCTAAATTGTTTCTCTGAGAAGTCTTGCTCAGTTAAGTTAAAACTCGACCTATTCTAAGTTTCCACTGGTTTATGCAATATGCAACATCTTAAGATTGCAGCAGATGTGTTGCATTTTGCAGTAAAAGTACGAAACGTATATTGTTATTATCGCTTGAACAACTTGTATCGTGAGGTGGCTATATAAGTTGTTCTTGAGAATCACCTTGGGTCCCTTCAAACTTTGTAAATATGGTAACCATCCGCTGACACTTCTGTTGCATCTAACCCCATCCAATCCTTCTCCTGCCACTCTTCGTACATATGTTTGCCTATGTACAATACGTAGGGTGAGAGTAAAGTTCCATCCCCTTCATTAGAGAACATTACTGTTGTAGTACTTTTTGATGCACCTTTTTGACATCTTTATAAATTGGGTTCAAGTAATTTGTAAAAATCTTTGATCATATCATAGTTCAATGTGACTCGAACTCTTTTTGTATTTTCTGCTAATTTAATTGTCAGATGGGGATGTCTCTTTATAAACGATTTAAACCAGTATATTCCAAGGAGATTTTTTTTAAATCTGGGTTCATTCTTACCCAGGAAGTATTGTTGAACCATTACTTTCATATCTGTTGAATGCAGTGGAAAACCGCACTTATTGCTAATTTCCCAGCTTAGTGACTTTGAAAGGGTCTAAGCATTGACATTTTGGTTTTGTTAACTGTATCAATAAAAAATATGAATACCTACGTACTTTACATTTGTTTTTCAATTTCACAACAGAATATAACAGCTGTTCCTCATTATCCTACTATGTGTGCAGCATTACCTGCAACACGGGGCAATAGGGAAAAATTACACTTTTTACAAAAAAAAAATCATTAAAAAATCTTAAATTAAAACATTAGCAAATAAGATGCTAGATATTTTAATTTGCCATTGGTCCCACAGCTGCATATATACGACACATTAAAATGTCAAAATTAGCAGGATCATCGTATTTTAATAAACTCCGTACAAACTCTTAAACAGAATCAAACGAACAAAAACGAACTCTTTAACAAAATCAAAGCCAAATGTTCATGGCATTCAACACTTGCCAGTAAAATAATGATTTTTTCCTAAACCCTCTAATATTGTTCTTTGATGTGGAATATTACAAAAAAATATGTATACATCTTTATTGAAACGATGCACTAAGGCGTCGATGACTTTAGAGGCACTCGAAAAATGCTCTATGTGGCTGAAGAATCCTAAAATGTAGAAACTGGCGGTTATATACGCCAGTGGGATCTAGAGATTATTCAATGGTAAACGTATATATACGGCAGTGGGAACAACATTAATGTAGATTATGTCGGATATATGCGGTAAAGAAAGGGTTAAGATTCAGTTGCATCAATAATCACGTCAGTTTGAGTTTTTTATCGTTACTATCAATATATTGTCTTCTCCATTTCCCCCACTCTTCCCTAAGTGAATCGCACTGTAGATATTAATGATAATTTAACTTACTTTTAAAAAACTAAAATTTTTATAGCATCTTTGTCATGTTTGCCGTTCGGATTGATGCTGGGATGGCCGTCACCAACGAATCCAATTCTCATAGACCAGTTATCACCCATACCAATTACCATTGACCAAAGTGCTATGATAGCGGGGTTTTTGATGATTGGTAATGCTGTCGGAACACCGATCAGCAACAAGAGTTTCGTAGGAACGAAATTTGGAATTCTTATAGGTAAGAACATACTGCGTATTTTTATTTAATTACGTTTTAAACTGTACAATTCCTATATCAACAAATTAGCATTTAATGAATATTCAACGTAAAAACAGTTCGAAATTTCGAAAGGGATAACAGGGGTTATCAAAAATTTGCAAATATTTAAAGTTGTAAGTTTTAATAAGTATACGAGGTCTGATCTACGCTATAAATATTGGAATGAAACGGTATTTCTCTTGATTATACAGTCGTCAGCATATGGAAAATTTATTATTTATTTATTTTTTTTTTTTTTCGAAAAAGTTATTCTTTATAAAAAATTTTGCATCTTGATAATTCATAATCAAGCATGAAAATGCCTATTATGAAAAAGTCAAATTTTTATTGTGATCATTTAAATCATTTGACTGGTTTTTAAGAAAAATTTTTAAATTTAAAAAATGTAAAAATATTTTGAAATAATATTAAACAATTAAAAATTAATTTTACGTTAATGCGTGAATAAAAAGTGAAATATGGATAACAACAGGCGAATTATTTGATTAAATTTGTTCTTTTTTATATTTATAGTGACCGATGATGGCATAACTGCTGAAAGCTCTTAAAGAATATTAATAAAATGTACACACTTTAAAATACCTTCGTTCGTTACTTTTCTTTAAAACCCTAATATTTGGAAAGAAAAAATAATATGTCTAGAATAATAATTGTTCAGACTAAAATTTATTTTAAAATGTAAAACGGTAAATTTTCGCATTTTAATTGTTTGTTTTATTTGTATATTCTTATCTCTAATAATAATTATGTATAGAAAGAGATAAATAAATATTAACTGATTTTGTTGAAATTTTATATAGTTGCATAATTTATCTTTCTTAAGAATTTTTTATAATTAAATATTTTAATCTTATAAGATAATTATAAGAAAATATATAAGAGATTTAAGTTTGCAGATAGTTCTGATATACTAAATCAAATATACCTTTTTAATGACATAGATATTATGTTTGTAATTTGAAAGTAATAATAACTATTTTTATTTATGACAGTAATACAGTTCTGCAAATTCTACTTACTTTTATAGGTATATAGGTATATATGTATATAGGTATATATGTATATAGGTATATAGGTATATAGTTATATAGGTATATAGGTATATAGGTATATAGGTATATAGGTATATAGGTATATAGGTATATAGGTATATAGATATATAGGTATATAGGTATATAGGTATATAGGTATATAGGTATATAGGTATATAGGTATATAGGTATAAAGGTATAAAGGTATATAGGTATATAGGTATATAGGTATAAAGGTATATAGGTATATAGGTATATATGTATATAGGTATATAGGTATAAAGGTATAAAGGTATAAAGGTATATAGGTATATAGGTATATAGGTATATAGGTTTATAGGTATATAGGTATATGGGTATATAGGTATATAGTTATGTAGGTATATAGGTATATGGGTATATAGGTATATGGGAGTATAGGTATGTAGGCATATAGGTATATATAATGTTTCATAAATTATATTCTAAATTTATTTAAGAGGGATATTTTCACAAGACAGTTTAATTATTATTGCCAATCTAATATCGATTGTATCGTTTATATTTACTAAACACGAATCAAAAAACACTAATTGCCTGATTGCTCCTCTTTATGTGGACTTTAATCGCAATGAAACTGATAATTATTTAAAAGTGAACTATCTATCATACATGCATAACATAATAGTTGTTTAGGGTTTGCATGTGTTTGAAACCGGAAAATTACACTAAGGTACAACTTTTAGGAAAATGTATTCAAAATTAAATTTCTGAAATACCAATAGTTTACTTGTTTTGTCTGGAATTTGCATTGGCTTTTTGATACAGAACAAATTATAAAAGTAATTTTAAAAAATCGTCTCAAGTATTAGGTATAATATCCCAAATCATAATTCTACAAAATTTCAACAGTTATTAACAATTTATTAAACTATTTACCCGTAATTGTTATTAACTTATTTTGATAATTTTAAGCGGAAATAGAATTCACGCATAAGTAACATAACATAAGGTCCATTGATTTGTTATATTCCTTGCTTCCAACTTATAACGGTTCGACTACTCAACCTCAACTCTCCTACCAAGAATGTTTTTAAAATCAGTTAAGACCTTATCCAACTCTTCTATTTTTGACGAGTAAGTTGTATTTTTAATGTTTCTAATTACTAATTCAATGCACCACATAACATTAATATAATCCTCCATTTTGTAATTGCAATAGTTTGAAAATTAGTCATGCATTATTTTAAACATTATTACTAACTGTATTTTGTTGTAAGTGCAATATGGATATATTTAATTAATGTTATATGGTGAATTGAATTAGTAATTAAATTAGCTTTTAAATGAAGTGTCTCACTTTATAATACGTCACAGATTTTTTTATTCCGATAGAGGGCGTTAAAATTAAAACTATCGAAATAAAAAGTCATATTTCTGACTTCCCCGTAAAATTACCTTTTCAATGATGTGCCGTACATGGTACATTCCTTATTTAAAAGTAAAGTAAAAGTAATGGAAGGGAGGGGTTGACACATGACAGATGTCTGTATTGTAAAATGTGTTCGATTTGAAATAAAAATCGACCTATTTTAGCATTTTCTAAAAATCCAATGATTAATGCCGAAAAACAGGATGAAACTGTTTTGAGTTATCCACTCTGTATATCCAAAATGGCTAGATTTATCGAATTAGTTTATAGAACAAAATCTGCTTAAAAATGCATTTTTTCTAGATGCGCTATACGAAAGATCCTTCCATCGAAAAAAAAATATTGAGCGCAGCGCCATCTACATATTGACTTATTTAAAATTAATTTATATCCAAAACTGAAGCTCTCTTAGCGCTCTATAAACTGGCTTTTACAGAATTAAAATATCTTTATTACTTACCAAAATATCCTGCCTGGGAGTTTTTATTGGTACACCCTGTATATATACGTTTGTATTGAATTCAATACTTTTTCAATTTTTTCAGCACGTCAGTGTTACGTTGTTAGTTTTAGTACCTTTTTGTTAAAAATAGCAATTTTAGTAGCATTTTTAGTACTATTTGAACATAGTTTAATTCAGTACTAAGTGTTTGGACCACATACTTTGATTTTCTTTTACTATACGGAGAATGGTCGCACTGCGCAGCTTTCTGAGTGCTTTTTAAAAGGAGATAGAAAACTCCGCCATTTTGAACCCTTATTACGTGTTGCCTACATCTTGGCGCAATATTTTTAATAGGTGCGTTTTAATCATCCGCTTCTGCTTCGGAATTGTCGGTTTTCTTGTTTTAATCTGACAGGTTAAAACGACTAAACCGACAATTCCGGAAGCAGAAGCGGATGATTAAAACGCACCTGATATTTTGTTTCCTGCTGTCAGTGTCAGTGAATATTATTTTTGGAGTCACAGTTTATTTCTAAAGAATCAGTTAGCTCACTCGGACCAGTTAAAAGTTCAAAAATAACATCCACTCCAGGGATACAAATTCAGAATACGCAGAAGACTGCTGTTTTATTATAGGCGGTTGTCATATATTGTATTATCCGAGTTGCGCAGTATATAAACTGGAACATTGAGATCAAAAGTGCCGACGCAGAGTGAGCGATCTGATTCTTTAGCTATAAACTGTGTCATAGGAATCAAAATGGCTGCGCCCTATGTTGGGCGTGTCGGACCTCTCTCTTGCCCTATATAGTAATCAAAGTATGTGGTTTGGACATTTTTTGAATAAAGTGACGTATTTTATCAACGGTGGATCACAGTTGACAGTTAAGTCATGTGATAAGTCAAATAATTTATTTTAAATTGAAATTTATTGCACGTTTGTTGGCTGTAATTTGGATAGTAAAATAGTAAAGATGTTTTTTTTTTGTTATAGAATAAAGATTATATAATTAAATATGTGTAATACCACAAGAAAATAATTTTTATTTTACTTCTGCATTATTTCTCATATTATGTGCTTATTTGTTTATACCTTCGTTTCTATAGGGTAAAATTGTAGAATTTTTAAAATTTTTCTATAAAAAGCATTTAATAGTTAATGAATTTAAAGCTCCAGCCATTTTAGGCGTTGGTACATTTTCATAAAATAGAGCTTTTTTTACAGTTGCTTATTCAGTACGTTTTTTTTGAGATTTAGTACGTTTTAAACAATGTTTCAGTACGATTTGTAATTTTCATTTTGGCAGCCCTAGTAGAGAGACTCACAACCGTTTATTTTCACTCTTTAAATTTTATTAGTCTATAAACAATTTTAACCGTTAAAAATATAAGAGGAGAAGAGGACTTTTGAGTAGCACTGTATTCTAATCAAATATATATTTTTAGGTCTCGCAATAATGATCACCGGCTGGGTACTTATGTGGCAATCCAGAAACATTTTTTGGCTGCTCGGAAGCCGTTTCTTAGTTGGCTTTGGTAACGCCTACGGCACTGGCCAACTGAAGACTTACATCGGCGACACTTGCGACCAAGATCTTAAATTAAATTTAATAAAATTTATAAATGTGTACGTTTACCTAGGAATTATAATAATCTTTTCAGTTGGTCCTTTTATTGATTTTAGAGATACATCTATAGCATGTTTGTCGATCTCTATTGTAATTTTTTTTATCATACTCTTTTTACCTAGATCGCCCTCAGAATTGATCAACGACAATAAAAATATCAACGCCAAAAAGCAGAATCATAATGTAAATATCAATAAAGAAATATTTAAGATAAGCGATAATGATAAAAGCAAACAAGAACAATTTGGATTGTTTAAATTGTTTGCAGATGCAGATTTGCGTGTGAAATTTTTAATTTTTGCTGGAATAGTATTTTGTCAACAATTTAGCGGTGCACCTGCTACTATTATTTATACACAGATATTATTTACAGAATCTCAATGCCCGTATCCGCAGTACTTAGCTATCGCATATGTTGTAATATTTTTTATTTGTAATGTTTTAGGCATATACTTGATGCCTAAATTCAATAAGAGAATTGTATTGTTATGCTCGACGTTTAGCGTAATTTTACTAATAATAGCCAAAATTCTAGTGGTATATTTTGAAATGAATGTTAATTACTGGAGTTATTCCTCATTTGTGGTATTGTGTTTGTTTATAATAGCGCATACCTTAGGTTTAGGAAACATTCCATTTACATTAATTCCCGACTTATTTCCGGGATCATATCGCACCACAGTAACTCATTTTTTTATAGCGTTTCATTCGATATTAGCTTTAGTTATAACGAAGATTTTTCAAGTTTTAATGACTCAATACGACGTTTCCGTTCCATTTTATTTATTTTTAAGTATTAGTATTTTGGCATTGTTGTTAATATATTTTGTGATACCGAATAAGGCTTGTGAAAAAGTGCATGTTATCGATGATAGTTTAGAAAAGAACGTTGAAATAAATGTTAAACCAATTAATTAAAAAATTATTTTCCTGCTTTTCCTTCCTATCATCCCAAATATACAGGACAGTGGTTCCAAATGTCTAAAGTCCAAAGTCCCTAATTGGATGATCGATTAAAAGAATTTGTAGGCTCTATTCAAAGAGTAGAAACATTGTACTTATATCTAATGGTAGAAATAGCAAGAGAGGACAGTCAGAGAGAAAAAATTAAATCGAGAGAGATAGAGCTTCACTCCAATTTAAAAGTATTTTAAATGGGGATTCCAAATGTTGCGGCTGATTTAAGTATTTAGGTAATATGTCGTCATCAAGTGATTTTAATATAGTTACGCTTTATGTGTCGACTACTCTTGATTGATTGAGCTTCTGCGATTTAAATTATTTGGTATTAGACTTATTTTTATTAACAATATTGAGAAAGTTTCTGTTTTAAGTCATACAGGGTGGAGATATTAACTGGAATACATTTGCTAAAAATCTTCACTGCAGCATCTACAATAATAATTTTTTGCAGATGCCTTTTATATGGAAATCGAAAGGCCGACTGCCTACTGATCCTGAAATTTTGGAAACTGCAGTACGGGAAATATGTAGTACTAATGGTAAAATCCGCACAATCACCAAAAAATATAATATTGATAGAACGATACGTAAATAAATTTAAATCAAACGAACTACTTGTATCGTTTGTAGCAAACTTTTACTTCGAAAATTTTTACTAATCAAGAAGAATATTTGCTAGTTCAATATCTGCTCAAATGACCTACCTTATGGACTTACTCAAGTCGCAGTAAGAAAGTTTGCTTACATCTTTGCAGCTGAAAATAACAAAAACATTTCAGCAGCTTGGGAGAAAAATAGAGCAGCAACGCGTAATTAGCTAAGAAGTTTTATGTCAAGACATGCTAACTTATCACTTAGGACACCGGAAGCCACGAGTGTAGGACGTGCCACTGCATTTAATAAATATACCGTGCAGCTAATTTTTGACAATTTAAAGACCATCATGACAAGGAAACAGATTACACTTGATTTCATATATAATGCAGATGAAACGGGAGTTACATCAGCACATAAGCCGCAAAAAAGAATTGCAAAGAAAGGGCAGAAGCAGGTGTCAAAGGCAAGATCGTGTGAAAAAAGATCACTGGTAACAGTTTTATGCACTATAAGTGCGTCTCTGGTAACACTATTCTCCCATTTTTATTTTTCCGAGGGTTCGGATCCAGGATTATATAACAAGAGGACTTCCCATTGATACCGATGCTGCTGTTAATCCATCAGGTTGAATGACCCACGAGAATTTTGAAAAATATCTAAATATCTTAAATGTCAAATAATGTACTTATATTGAATCGATAAATACCTACCTATAATTTGAAGTAAATTATAATATTCAAGAAGAAAAATGAAATGTAAATTGTTTTTGATAATATACTAACCTTTTAGCCTTTAATTTCTGCACACGAATTAATTTATAACAAAAACATACGAGTTAATCTAAATATCAACACCATAATTATTATGACTCGTACCGATTTGCGCAACATCACACCTGTCTTTCTGTTATCACTGTTTGCCGACTGCACTAAAATAAAAAAAAAACTCTGACCAAAAATAATACAATCAACCATAAATTTTAACAAGTTAAGTGCCACGCAAAAGAAATACAAAATTGCGATCTACCATAGTAAAAAAATGTTATTGAAAATTTAAGTAATAAGGTATTTAGCATTTTCCGTTACAAATTAAAATATTTTCCAAACAAAAAAAGGCCGACAGCCTTATTGATTCCTCACATGTGATGCTTCGAATCGTTGTTGGGCAGCGAATGTACCCGAAGGTAGGTGCACAGAAGGTAGGCAGGTGTTTGTTCTGTGAATGTACCCGAGGTAGGTATCTGATACGTTTTTCTTCAGCAGGGTTGTCTACCGTACGGTAATTACCGTACTTATACGGTAATTTCGATTAATGTACGGTATACGGTCCAAAAGTCATTACCGTATATAAAAGTACGGTATTTACATAAAAAGTAGGGTAAACGTACGGTATTTTGAACAGAAATAGCAAAGACTTTGAGTTGTGTAAGGGCCGATTCCGCCGTTGTGTTAAACAAAAGTTTAAATTATCATGTGAAGATTAAAATGACATTAAGGTATTTTTCGCGACATAAACTAACATGAAAGTTTATGATAGATTATGTTATTTAGACCAATCAGAGATGTCTGAATAACATAATTTATCATAAACATTCATGTTGGTTTATGCCGCGAAAAATACCTTATTGTCTAATGTAAAAATGTCATTTTAATCTTTTTACAGCACATGTTTTTTAAAAGGAGCTGGTTATTTTATAAAAATATGCCCTTTTTTTTAGAAGCTAGGCAGAAGGACCAGCGGTTGATTAAAATATATGATGAGGACTTTTTTTTGTTGAAGCTAGACAAAATACTTATTTTAATTTTTTTTTACAATAGGCTTTTTACAAAATAAAAGTGTGCGGTATTGAGCATGCAGGGGCTGGTAACTCAAATGGAAAAACATGAGGAATTTAGTACTACTCCGATTAATGGGAAGGCGCTCGTTTCGAAATGTCAGTTGTCAGCTCGTCAAAAATTCAAATTTAGAAAAATTAAAATGGCTGTTGAAGGTGTATTGGATTTTGATTCATCTAGATTTAGTTTTCAATACCTTCCAGTTTTAAGCATGTTATCAAAAGATGGGAAGATTACTGTTAGTAACGAACAATAAAACACTCCCAGATATTGGTAGTGATACAATTTATACCGCACATTAAATATGCGGTTGTCATATTAATGATAACACGGGCACACAAAAAAAAAAGTTGTTTGTACATCAGACACGACCTACCTACCGGCATGTATTTTGACCCGCTGAATCCGAATTTCAAGTCAGTTTGGGCCGTCCACCCTTTAATATCCACCCTTGCAATATCTCTAAAAACTGATGTATGAACTGAATGAGGCGAAAGATTTTCTCAGATTTTGAACTGTTTTTTGTTGGTATCAAACTTTTTTGTTCTCAAATGACCTCCGCAGTATTCAGCGGATCGAAATACATAAGAATTATGCTTGGTTTCGATTCATAAATTTTTTTCATTACTAATTATCTTATTTTTACTATTTTTACAATTTACTCGATATTGAAGGGTCAAAATACATGCCGGTAGGTACCTAGTGTGCCGGTCTAATCAAACAATTTGTAATAAGTGTCTTGAGAAAAATGCATCTTGTTTCTAGACACTTTAAAACACACTAGACAAACAATTTTGGATCTGCTGACACTAAAAAAATTTTTTTTTACCTTAAAATCCTTCAAATTTGTTTTCGGGTCTCTATCATAAAACAAATGTGAAATAAACCATTATCACTGATTTCTTGTTGTAGAAACGACTAAATATCAATGTTAGACAATTCATATAGAGCAGTACCTTACCAAATTTTTTTCATAAACGATAAAATTTTCTTATTTTTCATTTTTAAGTTTCTTAGAAAAACAAATAGTAAATTATTTTCAATGACAACTGACGTTTATAGTTTCTATAAATGCGGTGTTGCCAAATCGAGTAAGAAAACGTATATGACAGGAAATAGTTCGGTTAATGAAAGTTGGTTGTTTGGAAATGGCTCCAGGCGTACCCAAAAAATTACATAACGTCTGTCCGGCAGGTGAACTTGGATCCCTAACTAAAAACATTTGTAGTAATCACAAACATCAGTCTTTTTATTTCATTTCATGATGTGCGTTAATTACGGCATGTCGGAACTTATGTACTGTTTATAAAAAATACTTTTTTTTCAATTTAAGCTGTGTCCAAGCTGTTGGAGTTTATACGGGTCGGCGTAGCCAGGTATCGGTTAAAAAACTTTTACAAGAAGTTGTTGCTTCGTCTTCTTATTGTAATATTTTCTTATTATTAGATGCACGTGACAAAGTTGGGATCGAGGTTCACTGGCCAGACGCTAGTGAGAGTAGGTTAGGTTAGGTGATGATTCCAGGCCGCAGAGGTTAGGTTAATATTTGTTTAATTTTTCTTATTTTATGTATATATTTTTCCTTCGACCATTTGTTTGTTCCCGCGTATTTAGCTTACAACAGGTTGAAATGCCGTCCAGTATCCGTTACAAATAAAGGACAATAATACTCATTTTCGACACGGTTCTGAAAAGTAGTTGTTTTTGTCGTCAATATTGAAAAGTGAGGTTAAGTAGTTATTTGTAAAATAAATAGCATAGATTTTGATAAACTAAAAAGAATATGTTTGTGTTTTATCGGCAAGAGATTTCATGTTTTTCCGGCCTAACCTAAAAATTTAGAAATTTCTTAGTTCGATTTATCGCGCTGCAGGTTTGATAGACAAAATAAACAGGTGTTTTCGTCATGGGCGCCGGAACAAAATCTGTTGTAGGGGGAGAGGGTAATATTTATTTTCAAGTATAATATTTTTAAACATTTTACCTATTTTGAAATTATTAAATTAGTAAATATAGGTAGGTATAAAAGCAATAATATAAATGTAACTGCGGATTTGAAATAGTATATTATGTTACTAGGAGTAGAAGGCCAACGTTATATGTTGAGCCCAGAATTTTGCAAACTGGGCGAAACATATAATGGGCCTTCTAATCCGAGTGACATATACTATTTTTTCAAGCATTTAAATAAAAATAATTAAATTAAAAAACTGAAATTAATAGAATATCTGTAAAACTAAATAACAGTTTTAAAAAATTATGTACCTACCTTAGTTGCTAAATATCTCTTGTTTGGTGCATTATTAAGAAAGTTATCAAACTCCTGTTTAGAAAAAACTTTTGACTTCTTCGGTTTGTAATTATCACCTTTTCGTTTTAAGAAGGCAATTAATTTTGAATAGTTTTCAATTTTTACATTATGTTTAACATTTAGTTCTGATTTCAGCATTGAATACTGCGACCACATTGTTGAACTTTTGAATTTGACAAATTAGTAAAATATGCGATCAGAATATTTTCTGAATAAGAATATACGTGATTTTCTTCACTCCATTTCACAAATATTTTGTGTAAGCATAATCGTACTTTCTTCGATTTCGTAGGTATTAAGGTTTCTATCGAAGATTTCGCTATTTCTAGCAATTCGGGAGGTGTTGATTGCATTTCTTCTGACATTTTCTTTTTACTTGAAAAACACAGGTATAACGAACGGGTTAACACTATTTTTTTTATATTCTAAATCATACACTGACCAACGTCAAATTAAATAAGTATTCAAATGACAGTTCCAGCCTACTTGATTGCAACGTTCATAATAAGCCATTTAACATTAGGTTTGTGCTTTTTTATACTAGTACAAAAATGAAAAATATTTGTACTAGTATAAAAATAGGCTACTTCTACAACACGCGTAACTTGATATAATGTAAATATTATTTTACGCTTGAAGAAAAAAGTGTTTGTATTTAGTTCATTTTATTGTGCTGTAGGGCTGATAAACAAAATGAACATGTATTTCTTGTCATCGGCGCCGTAACAAAACTTAGGGAGGGGACTTATTTTTTCATGTATTTATTTTGAAATACTAGTAATATAACTGCAGTCTTGAAAAATACTAGGACTTACGCATCCAAGAAATACATTCAGTTTTGAATAGTTGCAAGCTATGGATCTAGGTGGCGTATCTGACATTATTGATGGAATTGATGATCATTAGGCCATTGATTCTGACTTGGGGGGAAACTCAGATACCGAGGATGATATCAAGATGAATACTTCTTTACCAAGCACTAGCCGAGGAAAAAGATCGTACGCCAGTGAATTAGATTACGACAGCGATGATTCAGTAGGGGACCTCTAGACTTTCACCCTACACCAAAGAAAGTAACCAGAGCAAGATATTCCTCATCTGATGAAGAAGATGATAATTAGCCCCTGGCAAATCTTCTTCGTCGAAAACCACGTTTATCCAATAAACAAACCAAAACAACCATTTTGAATGGAGCAGAAAACCATATTTTCCTCACTTTTTCGAGGCAGTTAACTTTGAGGAACCCACTAGCCCAAAAGTGATAGTAGAAGATTCACACCTATTGACATTTTTTTAACGCTTTTCGGAGAAGATTTTCCCGATCTAATTGTGTCCGAAAGTACTTTTCTTGATTTGACCGTAGAAAAGTTAAAGGCGTTCTTGGGTATTTTAATTATTATGGGTTTCCACTCCTTGCCAAGCTTTCGTTTATATTGGTCATCAGATCAGAACTTTCATTGCTCAAGAATTTCCAATATAATGAGTTTAAAAAGATTTTTAAAAATTTTACGCTATCTACATCTTAGTAACAATGAAGATATGCCTAAGAGAGATGTTAATTTCGACAGACTTTATAAAATAAGACCTAAGAACCACTTATCAGACAGTTATTTGAATTGCTATAATCCTGGTAGAAATTTAGCTGTTGACGAGAGCATGGTTGCTTTTAAGGGTAGCAGTTATCTCAAACAATACATGCCCCAAAACCTCATTAAAAGAGGGTTTAAAGTATGGGCTTTAGCTTGTAGTCAAACCGGCTACCTTTTAAACTTTTCGATCTACGAAGGAAAAAAAGAAAGTCAGGAGGTGAAAAAATAGTTTTGGTGCTTACACGGCCATTTCAGAACAAAAATTATTGTGTTTATTTCGATAACTTTTTCACTAGCTTCTCACTTCTCTCAAAACTTCTAGATCGAAATATTTTTGGAAAAACTTTCCAGCTGATTTGCCGATTGCTGACAAACACTTGAAAGCAGCAGAATCAGATTCTGTAGGTACTACCTCTGTTACAGAGAGCAATGGAAGGACGGGGGCAAGAAATGTGTTGTAGTAGCTAGCACAATTCATACGGTCTCTGAGAAGTCAACTGTAAAACGCATGACCAAAGAAGGTGTTAGAATCACTGTAAACTACCCTAAGAGTATAGATGACTATAATCAGCATACTTATGGGTGGTGTTGATTTATTTGACTTCACTCTTGCTATAACATAGCATGAAATTCACGAAGATGGTGGCTGAAGTTATTCTATTTTGTAGATACCACAATTGTCAACTCTCACAACCTATATAAGTCAAGATTTACTCAAAATCAACCCAATAATAAATCAAAATTACACTTGGTTTTTAGAAGTATCCTCGATAACCAACTGATTGAAAATTTCTCATCTAGAAAAAACCCAGGGTCCCGGTTGGTAGTTAGAAAAAATAAAATGAAAAAAGGTTGATGGGAGGACAGTTGGTGTGGACAATACTGACAGGCCAAATATTATTGGAGAACACTTATCCACACATACTACATCTCGAAGATGTGCAAGATATAGCACTGACAAGGACAAGAAACTTAAGCGCAGCAATGTAGAGTGTACTAAATGTAAAGTTGCATTATGTATTCCTTGGTTTGCATTATTCCATAATCGTTAGTATATATTTCATATTATCACAGGTGTGACAAAAATTTTTGTAATTAATAAAGAAATGGTTTAATTATCGAGCAGTAAATTTTATTGAAATGTATCAACCTAAGTACATGGATACTGGTCAAAATATCGACCTGCTTAAAAAAAATAAATATATGTTTTTGTTTAGTACCAAATTTTGTGTTTTGTTGGTTTATCTATATATAAAAATATTTGTAAGTTCAAATATCTCGATTTGTTTGTAATAATTTGCCCTATAAAGGGTTAAATGATCATTATTGTAAAGAAAATGTTGCCCCTCCAAAACACACTGTAAATCGATGAAATATGTGAGCCTCAGCCATCAATATCAAAAATACTACTTAGTGGAAAGTGGTCAATGAACGAATTTGCACTTGGCAACGCTACCGACAATTACACTTCAGTTGTCAGTTCACGTGTTTTCAAATTAAATCCGAAATAAAAATAGTTGTATATACTTTCAGAGGTACAAAGATAGATGTTAACCCTACTTATTAGGCTTGGATAAATTTCAGTAGATTAAAAACCACTTTTAAGCACAAATTCAAAACCTCAAAAATCTACGCTTTTGCCACTATTATTTTGAATAAAAAACCTTTTCATTCGAGTTAACTTTCATTACCACTATATCCATTTAACTTTTTTTTAATGCGATGTCACTGACTTCAAGTATATCCTAAATGAATAGTACTGAAGGTCCCATCGATATATTCCAATAAAAATGTTTAGTTTCCGAGTAACAGCTTGTGAAAAAAAAACTGGAAAACCCTCTATGTACATCGCCCACGGTTGCACAGTTTCCAGAAGTTAAAGAAAAATTAGGTATAGGATTTATCCCTATGACACTTGAGGTGTTAAAGATATTCCAATTATTAAAAAAATAATAACCAGGAGGTAAAACGATTTGGTTAATAAAACAAACAAAATCTGATTTAAAATTTATCTTGTTTTACATAATAAAAATGTTGGTGTGTGAATACGCGAAACTGTTGATTTAAAATGCACATTTTATACCTTTTTTTAAATCTGTGTAAAATAATAAAAATGTTATTCTCGTTTTCAATGTATGCGAAAGTATTAAATCACATTACAATAATTCCATTACATCTTTCAATCTTTCCATTTTTTTTTATATATATTACAAAAATCTTATCATTCTAAAATTTAATACTATTTACAAGTCGTATTAGTGGTTAATAAATCGTATAATTTTAACTATACCAGTAATTTGTTTATGTATGTACAAACTAAAATATTCATTTTCTTTTTTATTAAAACAAACATATATGTATTTATCAATAAAATTGGAAGTAAAATAATATTTCAATATACAACAATTAATAGATATACAATATTGCCCGAGGAAGGTGATATACGTAAATTAATATTTGTAACTAAAAATTTAACGACTAAAATAAATAATATATTATTCTGTTTATCAATTAAAAGGCAGTTGCATATAGAACGCGCTCGTATTCGTACCGGTTTTCCATTTTAACACAACAGATCGTTCAATTCCACGATAAATTCAGGATTAATCTTCATGAAAACAAAGTGGCCCTTTAAGAGGAACATAATACCTTATTTAAGAAAAAAAAAAAGCTTGATTTAGGATGAATTCAAATAATTTAATTTATAGTGATTGGGCGTATAGATTTAGCCAAAAATAGTATATTATGGACGTAAAATTAAATATTTTTTAAAAAACTCCTACAACTAGTCAAATACAAATTAAGAGCTGAAATTCAGCAAAATTGTTTACCTTTTTATGAGTGAGGGCTGGGAGTATGGGTTTTTCAAACACTTTATTTTTAATACAATTTCCATGGTCTTGTTTTAATATAATTAAAATTAAAATAAGCAAATCTTTTAAAATCGTATTAAAAATAAAGTGTTTTTGAAGCCTATTCACCCAGCCCTCACTCATAAAAAAGTGAAAACCTTTGCTGAATTTCAGCTCTTAATTTTTATTTGACTAGTAGTAGGATTTTTTTAATATTTAATTTTACGTCCGCAATATGAGCGTATTCATTTTCAGCTAATGTTGAAATTTGAAGAGATTATTTATGACTGAATGTATACCCCAGTCACTGTAAATTAAAACGTTCAATTTATCCTATTTTAAGCTTTTCTATTTTTTTCGCGAAGAAGGTAATATATCGTAATAGGGCCGATTCCACCGTTGTGTTAAACGAAGTTTAAAATGACATTTTTACATGAACAATGTCATTTTAATCTTCGTTTAAAACAACGGTGGAATCGGCCCTTAAAGGCGCATATAACAATATTGAGAGCTGTGACTGGCTTGAATGTGATGCGATTTGGCGTATAATATTTCAGAACGAAGTCGAAATATACAGCAAATTACTTAATTTTTACTACTTTTTTAATTAGGCATTCGAAAACAGGTGACTTAAAATGGTGGAAGATTGGCAAACACTATAAATTAACAACAGACCTAAAACCCACAAAAATGCTTTTATATGTACAATAAAAACAATCAAATACTAATGAAAAAGTTAGGTAAATGCTTTTTGACAACTAGTCAGACAGGCTTCACGTCTTAATATGCCATCTGGTGATCGCTGAAACGATAGCTTTCATTCTAAGCTTCTATCATGATCGACATTTATTTGACATATCTAGACCATATTTTTAGAGATGAACGCTACCAAATTTTGCAATTGGATAACGACGTGGAAAAAACGGGGGTAGCAGAGAGGGTAGGATACGAACCTTAGGGTTAAAGAATCCAAAACTAGAATTTTTGTAATTAAAGTGTGAACCAGTACTTCGTCACAATCAGAATTAACAACAGTCAGAACAATTAAAAAATAATAAACATCTTAATCAGCATTAGAAGTGGTTTAATCCTGACGATGTGTCCTAATAAGCTGAAAGCCCTTGACAAATACTGAAAACAAGATTACATTAATATATTACCATCCTGCACACTTTAATAGAGTGACCATATTTATTTTGGCGTAATACTGGACGTTTTCTATTTTTTAGCTCCTCATCCCTAGCATAAATATAATAACAGATAAGAAGTCAAGTACAGGACCTTTTTTGTAGCTCCTCAAGTCTTATTTGTTAAGTTTCAGTAATCACATATTATATTTGCTGAACAATAATGGCGTTTTACTTGGCAAATACAGCGATTTGTTGGACAAATACAGTGTTTTGTTGGACAGACTTTAAAAATGGTATACAGTATAACGGAATGCTGTAATGTGTGATCACCCTACACTTCAAAATTCCAGTTTTATTTCTTAATTTCCCAATGTGTACACATCTTTTACCTTCTTGATAAAGAATATCCATTTATAGACCAGATACAAGACAAATATTCACACTAGCTGTGCTCTTAGAGCTTGCCAGCGTAAATGCTGACATGAGGACACACGATTAAGAAGAACTGGATAAACGTACGATCTAAAAATCTGACCATCACCTTTATCAAGTATTTTTAAAGATTAAAAACAATGAAAGAAAATATTGTTATGGAAATCTTCTTTCTCTTACACCATTTCTTCTAGCCTAGATCTTTAAATTTGACTTATTAGACAGAGAATCTGCGCTACAGATCCATCATTTGTATTTAGCTTGCCTGCTAAAACCAGTGATGTTTGTTAAGCTTGTAATTGCTTATAATGGTTCTTGCAATGTCAAAAGATTGTTCAATTGTTGTTTGAATTGGGATTCGTACATTTGAACACACCTCCTCAGAACTATCCAACTGGTAGACAAAAATCGGAGTTTCTTGTAAAAGCTATCAATGATTCTATTGAGAAGGGTTTAATGGAGGCCAGGAGTAGACTAACGTTAGTGTAGACCAAAGAAGATATACATGCAAGAGGTTGATTTAGTAGCCAGGAAAGGAGCCTCAAAAGCTCTTTTTGGCTCTGACATTAGCATAACATCTACCTGGCAGAAAAGACCTTGTACCCATTTTGCTATGAAGACAAAAAAACTGCAGTACACATAAATATTGTGCAAAGGTCTATCAAGACTGGGATTCCTTACACTCGAAAATCAATTGAAATTAGCTTCCTAGGTATGGAGTCTACTAAAAAAGGTCAAACTAGACAAAATACAATAATCAAAGGAAGTCTTTAAGAAGGCTCCATGGCCTACAGTTCTAATCAAATCCAGGAGTAGATGAACATGGGGAATTTGACATAAAGTCTAGTTACGCTAAAGACCAATCATAACTATCATTTATTTATTTATGTAGCACTTACAGAATGTAAAATTCCAATCATGTCTCTATGTTCAAAAATGCATACAATATAAATGTAAATTATATAGACTATTGATGGGATAAGAAAGATATATCCAAAAAACCAGACATTATGGAAGTATCTATGGGATAAGCACGTGTTGGTAGAGAATTACGCAGAAATTAGAAATGGCATTGATAATGGAAAATGTCGTTGGGTCTAAATATGCGAAGTCATCAAGCTTGAGTTAATGCGTAAGTTCCTTCAACTGCCTACTATTATTAAAAACCACTTATAGTCAAGAGTGAAAAAACTTTCAGTATTTATATCTTCTTAAAACACAAAGTTTCTAACCTAAATCTGTACCGAGATCTATATTATGTCATTGTGAATCCCCAATATTTTGTTCAAGAGCCGTCACTGCTGAGAAAATAGAATTGTTGCATATAGAAAGAATAACGCAGGAAGCAAACCAGGAAGAGAAGATAAAGAAAGAGTAAATTTGAGACAGAATGTGATAACGGTGGTTTTAATAATAGATAACTGAACGCAGCTCACAGTAGTACAACTGTAGAACGCACAACAGAGCTTTTGCTGTTTGGTATCCAAATGCATCCACCTTAAGTAAAGTCGTGTGACAGGTGATACGTTCGTCTACTGTAGAACGTTATGTCTAAGATAAGCTGCCGATCTAATTACACCGCCTAAGATTGACATAAAGTGATTAGACATGGCAAATTGTAATAGCCATCCATACACGCATCAAACCCTATTTTTTCTGATGAGATTAGTATTATCATGTGATAGCTCTTCATCTGGAATGGCTACAACGAGTATCTATCATAATGAATAAAAAAAAAGACACATGGTGATGAGTGTCACAAACTGGAATAGATTGTAAAGTAAAAACGTGTAGAAAAAATAACAAGTGTAAGCTGCAATATACCGAAGGAATACGTTCTGTACTCTTAAGCATTAATCAATATCAAAATCAATCACAAAATAAAAAACGATTAAAAAAGAAAATAGGTACGTTGAATGATACTGGATCGGTTTCTATTTGTACATTTTCGTATAAACTAAAAAAGACTTCTAGAATTGGTAAAGTTATAATTAAATAAATAAATTATGACTCAGCGTTTCTGTATGTACCACCTAATAGTAATTGATAGTAATTAATAATGAAGTTCGTTTTCTAGGTACCTAAACGTTTTTTTCCCAACAAATACATGTATATATTACCTAGAATAGTACAAGTTTAGAGCTACTTTGTTCAGTCCAATCGGGAACTCGATTCAATGATTTAATCATGCATTTTGCAAAAAATGATTTAGAATGTTATTGATATAATAAATTTTTTTAAAGCCATTCTGTTTCCGAAAATAATGCGTTTATAGGAAAAAAATAGAATAAATCATTAAAAAATGCATTTCTAAAGTATCTTTTTCAGATATTAAATAACCCCACGTCTAAATCATACATCAGGGACTAATAATCCACTACTTATCGCATGTTTAAAACTTATTATATAAAAAAAGTTTGGAGAAAGTTAAAAACACTCGTTTATTTATATAAATTGATACGACTGAATATTTGAATGTTTTTTATTTCCTTAAAATCTTTTTCATCCTTACATCCGTTTCATATTGTCATATTTGTATAATGGTACTTTAATCTTGTATAAAATTTATATTCATTGACAAACTACCTATAATGTGACTGATAAATTTCGAGGTTTGATTATTTTATTCTATTTTTTACATTATTCAGAACCATTTTATAAAAAATAACTTTTTGTCTTAAAACTAAAAATTAAAAAGTTATCCATATATTGCCAACTTTAATATAAATGCAAAATGCGAAATTAAATCACTGGGTCAAGATCGAAAGCACAAGAAGAGAGAAACGGAATTTCAGATAAATATCTGTCTATTATTAATAAAATAACATTTTATTTTATCTCGGTAGGAGCGCTTGTGTGTGTAAACATTCACATAATAAAAATGAGCAACTTTTCAATACAATACAAACAAAACCCACATAATTATAATATAAATATAATAATAACGTAGTACTCTCGAAGCAAAAGCATTTTTTTGTTATAAAAATATATAAAGACATTTTGAAACATTCAAATTGTATAAGAAATATCCCGTAATAAAAGTTATCAAACTTAAAAAGCAACTACTCATATATCTTGCACCGATCCTCTTCTTGAATGCTGTTACTCTATTAAATCTTCTGTGTGTACCTACAAATTCAACTAATTTAATAATTATTATTTTAAAAATATTAGTAGTAGTAAAAGAGATAATACACAGATAAGACAATTAATGTAATATGTCTACATTGTGTGACAGAGTAAACATTATTTTACAACCCTATTTCATCGATTAATAGAACATTTTTGACAAAAAATTCATACAGTAAAGAAAACAGATTTTTTTTTGCAAGATGAAGTTTAAATTGTTTAAATTCTGTAATAAGAGTTTCTTACTCAACACAAAACAAACTCTGATCTGGTACAGTAGTTAGACCAACTTGAAAGATCGATTTGAGAAATTGACTTGGAAGATCTACTTGAAAGATTGATTTGTCTTTCAATTTTATAATAGTTTGTTTTAAAAGCAGAACAATCAAAATATTTCACATAATGAAGCATAAAGCATCAAATTCGGTAACAGATGTTGTTTTACTGTGCAATAAGAAAACTCTGTTCTAGTACAGTATTTTTGTTAATAAGTTTCATTATAAAACTGCACAATTGCACAAAAGATTATTCTACACTTCAAATATTGGCTGGAACGATTAACCTGATAGAAAGATTGAATTGAAATATTCACTTTAAATATCAACTTTAAAGACCAACTTGAAAGATGGACTTCAAAAATGTTCGTGAAAGATTGACTTTCTAAGGCTTCCATATCAAATTGAAAGATCCACTTGAAATATCGACTTGAAAGACAAACTTGCACGATCGACATGAAAGATCGAGATGAAAGAAAAACTTAAAAAATTAATTTGAAATATTGACTTGAAAGATCAACTTGAAAGATCGACTTGAAAGATCGACTTGAAAGATCGTCTTGAAGATCTACTTGAAAGATCGACTAGAAAGATAGATTTATCGTACAGTTTTATGAAGGACCAGTCTTACAAAACCGTTAAGCACTGTTGTCAACCTGTGAAAAAGAAATCTAATAATTCAAACGTATTTGTAGCCTTAACCCTTGTAGTCTTTGCGACATATTAGACTTTTTTGTCCTTGCAAAACTTACAAAAAATTGACAAATTTATTGTGACATAATATATCAGACCCAACTCACCATCTGATGTACTATTAAAGACATCGTGTTAGGACAAAAAAGGATTTGCTGGTTCGTTGCTTTTTGTCCAAGCTGAATTTGTAGTGCCATTACTAGTCGCAACAGGAGCCCATGGATCCTAAAAACATACACTAGGTTTAAAAAATTTGACAATCAATGACGGTGTGTTTTCAGCAATTCAGGGATAGCCGTCACTTTAACATAAAAACTTAATACTTTAAATTACTGCGATGAAATTATATATAACTTTTAACAACTCTATATTCAGGGTAACTAACTTAAAGATAACTCAAGGAAAACAGTAACTCGACAGGCATTAATTATATCTAGAGAAAGATTGACTTGAGTAAGCAACAAAAAAGTTTGACTTGAAAGATCAACTTGAAATATTGACTTTTCTTACAATTGTACAGTACAGGACCAGCCAGTAAATGTACTCGAAATAACGACTTGAAAGATCGATTCAAACGATCGACTTGAATAATGAACATGAAAGATTGATTTGAAAAACAGCAAAGTTGGAAAACGATTTTCCCATTCAATTGTAATTATCACCTGAGTAACAGCAGGAGCGTTGAACGCTCCACTATTAGTGCCCAGCGATGGCTGCGTACCGACCGCGTACTGTCCAAAGGCCGTACTTCCCGGATTCAATCCCGTTTGAGGTGGCGTAAAGCCCGTAGCTGCATGTGTAGAAACGTTGAAAGAACCGAATGGTTGTTGCTTCATTTCGTTAATGGACGGTTTTGGTGGTGGTGTATTAAACACTGGTCTGGGTGGATTGCTAACTGCTGGGTCCGAGAATGGGTTCGCTACGAGCGTGGGGTTTGTAGGTTTACCTAAAAAAAATAATTAAAATAACAAAAATTGTCACCAGACGTGGGATCAGAATTAAGAGCAATGAAGTTTAAAGAACAAGAGAAAAATAATCAAATATAGTAGCACTTAAATATTTGATTTTGATATACTGTATAAGAAGTTTAGAAGCAGAAGGTGATGCTATACAAAAAAATTATTGGCGCAAGAGAAAGAGGCAGAGGATAAACAGAAGAAACAAGTAGAAATGATAAAAACGAATAATGATCCAAAAAAGATTCTTTGATAAAACCATAATGAGAATAGGTCTTAAGTATAAATGCAATTTGGCGCGACAAAATTGTTTTTTCCCCAAATATCCCAAAATGAGTTGGTCCTAACACTGAAATATTACCTACAACTCTTATTGTAAGCATTAGACACAATTCAATATTAGAAATTTCAAAGATGGTTGCGCCCTTTAGTAGCGCTTTTGAGATACAAAATAACTAGAAGGAAAACATTGAAATAAAAAGACAGAAGAAAACAACATGAGATTCTATATAAACGCACCAACTTGGCAACTAGACTACTAGTTTTTAAGAACAGTTCACTTACTTGTTACAAGATTATCTAAATTGACCAAAGCTGAGTTTTCTCCTAGAAAACTTAACGGCGTCTTTTTAGTCATTCCCGTCGATGTGTTGCCTTCGATGTCTGTCGCAGATAACAGAGTGTCGCTTAATAAATTTAATTCGAACGGATCCGCTCCGCCGTTTGTCTTTGGAGATGATGCCATTTTGTTCCTAAATAAAAAATTATTTAATAACATTGACAAGCTGTCGGAAGACGATATAATCAAAGAACTCAAATGCAAAAGCGAGTCCTGTCAAATTGGCTCAATTTTATATCCAATAGTGTAGCAGGATAAGCCAAACAAATTAGCCTAATATTTTTAAAATACAATGACAAGTGAAATAAAAAAAATAGAAGTTTCTGGACATATGAAAAGTAGAAGTAAAAGCTAACACAGGTTGCATAACATTAAGGCACAGTCTTAAAATTGTAAAAACTGTATAAAAATCAACCTCCTATTTATTTCCGTTGAAATCAGACATAGTAACTGTCAAACTACATTTGATGTCTCTGGAAACAAAACGCTGAAGACGAAGAAGTAACGTAAGATGAGAATTAAGATATTATGGAGACCTAAGAAACTGAAGATTGTGGACGAAGAGGGATCGAGGTTATAAAGGAATGGAGAAGCCATTGAAGGTTCGTCTGGGTATATATTCTTGAATATCAGAAAATATAAATTTTAAGAAAGAATGAGACAGAAATACAATTTTGTACGTTGCATATTCCTTCTAATTCACGAGAGTAACCTCCAAACTAATTGATTGAATAAAATAATGAATCTTCAACAATATATGTATCCCATGTGATCTGATTAAACAAAAGATTTAATTAAAATGGCTGACAGAAAGATTGACTTCAAATATGTACTCAATCGAAAGATTGACTTGAATAAGCATCATAAAATAATTTGAAAGATCGACTTGGGAAGAATTACTTTCCATAATATTGTACAGTAGTATTAAGAAACAAACAAAAAAATTGACTTGAAAGATCGACTTAAATAATCTACATGAAAGTTTGATTTTGCAAGATTGACTAACAAGATCGAAACTTAATTAAAATGGTTGTTCTTGGTGACTTTTATGACAATTTATTATCAGTTCTGTCAAATAATTTTATGTGTAAAATTTATGTAATTTTATTGTATTTATGTATTTATATAATGTATTTATGGTTCCTATCCGGTAATTGGATGCAATCTGTTGGATAGTGTAATAAAAAAAATAGGACGGTATGATTATTTAAAGGTTTATACTTTATTATTATTAGTTATAAATATATATGAGAATCCAGAAGTTATTAATGTTACTTTCAGTCAACTGATCACATCAATTGTTGAAGACTGTAGAGTAACAAAAGTCAATTAGAAAATAGGTGAACAGAACTGTTAGCTTGCTGGTATTGTTTCTTCACATACCTAACTAATGTTTGAACCTAATAAGATTGATTTAATTGATGAGAGCATAATCTAAGTTTTCATTAACATGACGTACTAATATCTAGTTTTAAGTGTAACGCTCTAGTATTAATTTTAGACTTGCCTATTTGAAATAACGTCAAATTCGTCCAAATCTGTCGAACTCTGACTAGTCGGCGACCATGGATCCTGTTTGGGAAGCGCTGGGATGGGTGATGTAGAATTGCTCGAAGCAATAGGAATGCCCCAAGGATCGATTTTTTGAGTTGCAGCAGTTGATGGATTCCACGGATTCGCTAGCGGCACTTCTGGTGGTGAAGAAAGCGAAGATGGACGCCAAGGTGATGTTTGCTAAAACGTTAAAACCGCACTCTTTAGAGACAGGATCAATGGGAGTTTGTTCAGATTTATTTAAAATCCGATGGATTAATTAAATTCCAAATTATTGGTTACGCATACCTTTTAAAATTTCGAATAGTCATCAACGTACGATATATTTGGGGAACCCAACAAACCTGATGTTTCACTCTAGTCATATTACAACAAGAGCAATAGTTATTAGAAAGTTTTAACGCGATTATATGCTAATAACATCTCTATATTGAATTTAAACAACAGCAAAAAATATTTGTTTGATAGGTGTGTATGATACGATAAATTATCATTGTATATGACTCAAAAGTAACAAACTGTTTTTGCATACATAAAAAGCAGCCGCGTCTATATTGCAAAAAAGTTAAAAATTTACTAAAAAATTGTTTATGACAAATATTAATAATGAAAAAATATTTAGTAATTAGGCTAGTTAAAGTACAGCAGCCACTAGTCAAATGTCCGCGATCACGACGTCATACAGGGAACTCAACGTGTCCGATAAGACCATATTATGTAAGGACATATGCGTTCACGTGAACGCAGGTATATACGAAGAATATTTAAAAAATTCGACTTCTATTGGCAGATGACGTGACAGATGACGTGATAGACAATAACAATGGGGCACTGAGAAATTGGTACCACTGGAGTCAGGAATCGGAGCGGGACAGGCGCAGTTTTTTTAGGGTGTTTTTAACTGTCTCTTAAGCGTGTTGAACTGTAATATTAGGAATAAACGAAAAAATGGTCGTTAGGAATTAAAAGAGTGAATGGAGCTCGTCTAAACGACCGCAGCTTAAGTGAATAAAAAATGACAGATGACGTATTTGAAATTGACTTAACGTTGGCAGATGCCGTGATATATTAAAGGCGAGTTCGGATAGTCAGGGGCTGGAGCGGGACAAAAGCGGAGTTTTTTAGGGTGCATTTAAATGACATTTAAGCGTGTTAAACTGTCACTAATCGGATTAAACCGAACGCTTAAAGGGTCGTTTGGAGTAAAAAGTGTTAAAGAAGTTAAAGGAACTTGGCAGACCGAACGCAATGAATGTAACATATAACATTACAAATTAAATGGCAACGGTTTTCGACGACAATAAAATTGAAACATTGGGAATTGGTATCAACAAGTGAGAAGAAATAAAGAAATGTATTAAATAGGTAATCCTAATATACATACAATTTATAAATACTGTTGGATAGCTTTTAAATACATTATATAGTATTAAATACTAATAGAGATAATATAAAATAAATAAAAAAATTTATAAAATAATAAGATAAAATAAAAATATACAGACGGAAATATAAAAATTTAAAAGAAAGAAGATTGATCAGAGATGTGTTCATTACATTCTTTGTTTGATATTGTTTAGTAACATTTTTCTAAACCTTCTAACGTTATTTGCAGTTTTTATCACATATGAAAGGGCATTAAAAAAATGTTCCTCGGCAACAAATTGAAAAAAAAACAACGATGATAGTGAAACTTATAGACAATGTGTTCGTGAATGATGATAAAAGAAAATAAAAACTTGCGTGAAATGACATTCCGGTGACAATCTCCGGCGAGTCGCCACCTTCTTGGGCTTTCGCCGGCGGATCTCCAGCGAATCGCTGGCGATACGCCGAAATGAATCTCTGGCGAGTCGCTGGCGATCGACTATGCATACGGCTGTTAAAATTAAAAAAATTAGATATTTTCGTTCTCAAAACCGTCCCATTGTATATATTGATGAAACTTACATACATAGTAGCCATACATCATCACATAATTGGGGTGATGATAATGCAAATGGTTTCTTTTCCACCATTTCGAAAGGACAGAGACTTAATATAGTTTATGCTGGTGGTAACATGGGCTTTATTCCTAACAGTTTGTTAATGTTTGTGTCTGCGAAAGTAGTATACGCTACTAAGCTTTAATAGTAGCCATTAAGATCGTTTGAAGGTGTGTCAACAGTGCGCAAACTTTACCCCACTACTCACAAATTAGGATGCGATGCCTATGAAAAATTGAGTTCATAGTGCCACTGTTTTAGTTACATAAAGTTCATAACTGGGATAATTATGAACTTCGTGATTAAACGTAATAAATTCAAAGTATTTTGGGTCATTTTTCGATATAATTTTATATATAAATAATATAAAACACAAAAATAGTCTATCCTTCACCGACAACCAATTTAGCGTTGAAAGCATTGTTATAATAGGTGTATACCATTTCAAAATAATTCGCATCCCTCTATTTTGCAATTTTTGAAGTTCAATTGTATTTTTACTTTCCTATCTGTATACAGATATAAGGAAAGTATAGGAATCATGATTTTTTTCGACCTCGAGTTTTCGACGGATTTTTACGTTTTGAGGTCCCCTGAATCCGTTTTGACTATTTTCGCGATGATGTCTGTGTGTGTGTGTGTGTGTGTGTGTGTGTGTGTGTGTCTGTGTGTGTGTCTGTATAACGCATAACTCATGAACCGATACACAGAAAAACACCAAATTTTAAACTTAAGCTTTGTTTCAGCGTCCAATGAGCTGATTAGATTTTGGGCAGTGTCGGAACATCTGGGGGGGTACTTTATAGGTGGTCATTTTTATATTTTATGGAATATATCTGTTATTTACGTTTGGAGAAGAAAATTCTTCAAATAAAAGTTACTTCTAATATAATTATCTATAATTTTTGTTTTATGCAAAATTTTCCTAAAATGGTCCGTATTCGAGAAATTTGACAAAATGTAAAAAACATAATTTTTTATAAAAATTGTTCAAATAAAAGTTGTTTATAATATAATTCTCTATAATTTTTGTCCTATACATAATTTCTCTAAAATGGACCGTATTCGAGATATTTGAGAAAATGTGTAAATTTCGAAATTTGAAGAAAACTCAAAAACGGATAAAGGAAAAAACATTAAATTTTAAACTTAAGGTTTATTTCGGCCTGACGTGAAATGATTAGATTTTGGACAAAGTTGGAACATCTGGGGGGGTACTTTATGGGAGGCCGTTTTTATATTTTATGGAATATATCTGTTATTTATGTTTGGAGAAGAAAATTGTTCAAATAAAAGTTACTTCTAATATTATTCTCTATAATTTTTGTTTTATGTCAAAATTTCCTGAAATGGTCCGTATTCGAGAAATTTGACAAAATGTGCAAAATTCTGATTTTTATGAAAATTGTTAAACTAAAAGTTGTTTGCGATATCGATTTCTATAATTTTTGTTTATACATGATTTTTCTAAAATGGTCCGTAATGGAAAAGTGCTAAATTTAAATTTTTCTGTATTTTCGTTTTCAATGAATATCTATAGAAAAATGTTTCGAGGTAGATGTATGTGTAAAATGTATATATTTAGTTTATCCTCTAAACATTTATAGAGATGCTGCAATAGGTTGTACAAAATAACCGGAAAATGCCTATAATAACTAGATAGGAAAGTCATGTGTTGGACACATTAGATTTTTAATATTCAATTTGTTTACTTGATCTTGCTGACGATTGTAAGCTTATTTTAATTTTTTTGTGGTGATTTTTTGTTTAAAAATTGAAATATGCCGTATTGTAGTGTAGCAAATTGTTTTGTCTCTGAAAAGGCATCGTTTTCCGAGATACGATCCTAACGATTTATTTTAAAATTTGCTATTGGCTGTTCGCGGTCCGTTTGTCAATAATAAAACAACCCAACAAATTTATAAAAACTAGTATGCAATAAACATTTTAAAGATAAGTTTAAAGTTCCTGGTACTCACAGAGATCTAACTGTTAAAGCATATCCCACATTATTCCTCTCATAATCAGAAGTTCTTAAAAATTTTAAAAATACACTTAAAATCCAATATATCCAAAAATCTTTGGTTATGTGTTAGTCTTTCGTTAAATTTTCGACTTTAATGCGAAAACTCTAGTACAATTCCTATTGGAAAACACAATTTCCAATGCCCGTAAGCAGGGGGAATATATTCTCATACTTCTCATTAGAAAATATTCCACCACTTATGTCGAGAATACGAAAACTGAAATCCCATGGGAACATTTTATTTTCCCATGGGAATAAAAGTCGAGAATCGAGTCCCTGGTATTTTACAAAATAGGGCGGTATCAGTTCAATTTTGACAAAATGTGGCTTAGCCGCTTTTTTTTCTGCACCCTTCATTTGCTTTATAGGTTTATTAATATTTATTTTTTGTTCCAAATAAAACTGTTCAACCGCTGTGGAAAATGAGGCAACTTGATTTTCCAGCTAATTAACATGCTACATTTAATTATTATATTCGTGTTTTTTTTGTTTTTATAAATTAATTTTGTTTTAATTTTTTGTGTATTATTAAAATATTTAAACTTGTAGTCAAGTTTTAGTTCATACTACTTATTTTTTATTTTATTGTAACGAATATAATTAGATTGCTACAATAACGTAAAAACGGAGTTAGTATGAACAAATCTTAATTTGACTACCACTTTTAAACTGTAAATATTGAATGACAATTTTGAATGTTCCCGCGTTTTTTATTAACTAATGTGATCGTGAGATGGCGCCACTTCCTTCCAAATAGTTCAAATAATTGTCACATGGCGCAACAATACGGTCCCGAATTTTAATATTGCCGTTTCCATTCTAATAGTAAGTGATCTGTGAATTAGGGATGCGCAAATTTCATAAAACATCGATGTTGACATCAAATGATACATCGAATACAGACGATCGATATTGTAAAAAAAAATGGGAAAAGAAAATATCGATTTTTCTAAACATCGATGTTTGTTTCTCCATACATCGACGTTTTTCAAAAACGTTCATTGAATAGCAAAAAAAAAAAGAATTCATCAATTGAAAAACATAACGCTCAACAAAAAGGAATTCAAACCATCAATTACAAAACACCAAAAAAACATCGATGTTAATTAAAAACATCGATATTAAAATATCGATGTTACCAAATAACATCGGATAAAAAAACATCGATAATCGAAACTGAAAAATCGATGTTATTTAAACATCGATAATCGTGGATACCCTCACGCACGTAAATGACTCGCTACTGTGGATGTGGTCACAAAACTGGCTTTAATGATCTAGTTTATAAAAGAAACAGTGTCTTAATACTAGCAATACTTTTCACGCGAATCAAACCAACTGCACTAGCTCGAGCTAAATTTTCCGTTTATTACGAAAGCTTACTATATACCAAACTGAAAATTTTACATACCGTATATAGATAATTTCCAAAAAAATTTAAATCCAACGACTAAAAATAAGTATTTATAAATATAAGTATTTAGACAATAATTTGACGAATTGAAAATTAATATTAAAAAAATAATAAATTTTAGAAGTTTTACCTGTGGTCTAGGCGGTTGCGGCATACCCCACGGATCTACAGGTGCGGCTTCGTTACCTAAATCTATATCTAATAGATCTACTAAATGACTATCTTCGTGTCTTTTTTTGTCTTGTGATGATCTGAAAGCAAGAAAATCGTATTAAACGATATGCAAGCAGCGACGATCGACGTTAAACATACAGGGTGATCCACTGGTAACGCCTCAGTCTGTAGAGCCAAAACTAATTTAATTTTTTTTATATTTTCACAGTGATATGTACATCAGAAGAGGCAACAATTTAAAAATAATTTTAATTATACAAAATTCTCCAAGAATGTGATACATATAGTTTGGCTTTATAAATAAAAAAAAAAAAAAAAAATTAAAAATTTTTTTTAAGATTTTAAAAAGATCAAAAACGAAACACCAACAAATTAAAATTGTTAATATGCAACGCTAATATACCCCTTTGTGTCATCTGTCAAATTGTTAATTGACATATTTCATAAAAATGTAGAATATGGTTGACGAAATGATGTTCATGTAATGTTCATAACAAAAGGTTAAGAAAAAGGAATCCGAAGTTTTTATTGGCAATCAATAATTATATTAAAAAAAAAAATACAGTAAATATTATGCTCACCTAAAATCTTGTTGACTTTGACTCAAAGCCAACTGAAGTCGTACGTCATCGGATTTTCTCTTCTGTTCCTCTTGCTCCGCTTCCTCTCTCGACATGGCCAACGCGAGTTGAAGTTGAAGTTCCTCTTCGCCGGCGGTTTGAGGCCTTGCAACTTCTATGTCTCTGGGCAGATCTACTAAAATAACAAATTCGAAACGGGTCGCATCAAAATGAGTTTCGAGTAAAACCCAAGTAGCACATGACGGATTTATAAAAGCTGTAAGAATATTCTTAAAGCAAATGTTTATAAGAAAATAAGATTTATAATTTTACTTGTAGATATTCTTACAAGCTTTATACAATTCTTATGAGCTTAAATTGGGCACCAAATTATAAATCAAAAAAGTTTTTTAGTTCCTTTATAAATGCTGTATTAATGTGCCGCAAAATATAATAAATCTTATTTGTAGATACTTACAAAGGTTGAATAAAGCAATCTCAAATAGTATTTTAAAGACACATTTATAGATACTGTATTTGCAACCAATTTGGAACCGTAAACACTTTGACGCTACATTTATAAGAAACCTTTATTCGGAATCTTTAAAAAGCAATAAAACTTGTAAATAATTTTATCCTTCCTTAATAAATTTTTAATCTTTATTGATATGGCGTGAAACAGGTTTTACAAAGAAAAAAGTTTTATTTATATATTCTCCAAAAACAAAATTGTTGTGAACTCTTTAGATTACTGCAGTGTCTAAATTTATAAAGGTTTCAGTTGATATGGAGTCTTGCAATATACTTTAGTTATGAGACATGACAAAAAAGTAGGAAAATATATTACCTTATTTTTAACAGAAATGCAAATTTTACAACGAGGTTCACTTTAATGTGAAATTCTATACTATTTTATGGCGATTTTTTTAGGCCCCCACCCTGAACATTCAATTGAACGATAAAAATAAAAATAAATTTTTATGTAAGAAAGTAAAAATATATTAATACTCGACCATTCACTGTTGAGTTCTAATTAACAGTGCTATTCCTAAAGTGGCGCTGGGAAACAGTAACAAAGCCTACACAGAACACACATGATTAAGAATTTAAACACAAATTTGAGACTGGCATATTAGGTATATACACCTAGGCCATATAGCGGAAAAAAAAAAAAAAAAAAAAAAAAAAAAAAAAAAAAAAAAAAAAAAAAAAAAAAAAACAGATTAAATTATTCTTACTAATAAGTAATAATTTAGTATCTGATCTTTACAGACCTTTATCACATTATTTCACTAAAAAAATTTTTCTTCTTAATTTTTGACCTAAATGTATTTTACATTTCAAATATGGCGAAGGGTTTAGTTGCACAAAAAGCATTTATAAAACATGTATGCTTTAAAAACAGCAACAACAAAGCAATTTGCCTAACTTTTCCATAATTTACAAAAATTTATTGCCAATTGTCTACGAGGGTACTTTCAAAAGTAGTATACCTAATCTTGTACTATTTAACATAATTTAATATAATTACCAGACTATAAAAAATTAATAGTTTCTATTACAGTCAAAATTTGCTGTTCCACAAATATTATTTTAATATCTGTTAATAATTAATATTAATAACATTATTAAATTAATATATATAATAATAGATATCTAAATATTTCACTTTGATGTTTTTATTTGTGAAACTTTTTTTTTTATTTTACTGCACTACTGTGTCTGTCAATAGTATATGCCTTTTGTTCTCAAGCTCATTTCTACTAAATTTTTTCATTTGCAATTACGGTACTTTTTGTTAAAAGATATACCAAAACTTAACTATGCTACTGGTGATGCCATCTATTGATGTAACCTAACTACTTATGTCACATTTCTTTGACTAGTATTTGAAATAAAGTCAGTCTATCAAAAACAACTCGAACCGGTAGTTTTAATACTTTTTACCAACACCTCGTATAAATGTAACTAGAGGATGCTGACATAATGAATTGCCTACATAATAAAAATCTTATTACTTCAAATGAGCAATTTTGTCTAATAGTCGTCAAAAATTGCAAAAGGATTTATAGTTGTCTGCAATAACATCACTACAAATCTATTTTGCTCTCTTGAAACTATTAGACAGCAGAAATTGCTCTAAACCAGTTCCAATAGTTCTTGTATATGCCAAATGGTTTTATAGTTGTTCGCAATAACACCACAATTAAATCAATTTGCTCTCCCGAGAACTATAATGTGTCAATTTACCAATATATTTACTTTTACGAGCTTAAAGGTTAGATTTAATCCAGCATTTTTATTTTCGTTCTTAGTTGGGTGCGCTAAAATGTTTAAGATTGTGGAATCGATTGAAAGGGACAAGATTCAGTTTCCAGCGTGAGATATCCATTTTGTTAACTCAAACATCAAAAACCTAATAACGTGTTAAAAAAGAAATTATGAAATATTTCAAATTGGCTCTATTAAAGCAGCGGCCGGAATATTTTTGTGTTCTTTGAGAGCATTTTACCTCATTGATGTTTTTTAAGTGTTACTAAAACAGCAGTAATAAAGACATTTAAAGGATACTTTGTAATTGCTATGTTTGCTCTCTTAAATATAGTTTTTTGTAGCTGCAATGAGAGTATTCTATATTTGTTGAAACAATTTTGTTTTATACACAAATTGCATTAACATGAAAATAAGGCAACTTCCTTTATAAGTGTTGAATATGTAACTAATGTATCTTATTGTTATATAAAACAGCATACTTTATAAATTTGCACTTTTCATATTTATACTTATCTTTAAAATGTTACTAAAGACAAATATAAAACCGTTATAAATCAAAAAGCCTTAAAACAGAAATTGGTGTTATACCTGTTCTTAAGAAATACTGAGTGTTTTTTATAAGAAAAATTTATAATATATAAAAAATATGCTGTAAGAATATTTATATAACAATATTATAGTGCTATTTTGTTTTCAATGGCCAAATTGCATCATTTGCTATATTTATAAGTCAATATTGAATTTCTGAAACAACTATAAAACCTTTATAAGAATTGAATGTTCTAAAATTAAAAGGTTGTAAGAGAAGTGTGCTAGTTGGCCTGTGACCAAGGAGAAAGAGAAGGCCGAGGAAAACATAACGTGACGATACATGAATACTAGTAATAACAAATTGAAACACAAACAGTCGCACAATGGACAAAGACTCTCATCCCGAATCTAGAGTGCCTGGTCCACCTGCAAACATCGAAGATTAAATTAATACACTACGCAATTTCTGAGTGGTCACGATTCCTTTAGAAAGTACACACACAAAATAGGTAAGTCAACCGACCCAAATTGCATGTATTTTGCGGGACTCACATGAACACCATGTATTCGCTGGAATGTCGAAAGGTACATAATTGGGGAAACAGATGGTAATTTAACCCCACGAAACATCATTGAGGAGGGTATGACGGAAAGCCTGCAAAATAGGAATAAAATTTCGAATTTCATTAGGAAAGTAATGAAAAGAATGGAGACTATTAAGAGATACGGAAAACGGACTGAATGTTAAAATCGAAAGTTTGCCCCTGGTGCACTCGACAAAAGGCCATGGAAAGATGTGGAATTTTAGTCGGTAGTGCGTAGGGGGCGAGTCTCACATTCCATGTCTAACACAGTTGCGTAAAAAGCATGTCTCCGCTCAAAAAAAAAAGGACTAACATATTGGAAATCGAAATGCTCTAACATTTTATATGCATCTCAATCTGGAAGACCTACAATCCTTACCTGTATCTCTAGAACTCCACTCGCCTCTGAACGCCGGATATTTAGGACTGTTTGGTGTATCAAGGCCGCCGTCGCTACCAAAACCGCTTGCGGTTTGAGCAAAGCGCTCTTTGGCTTTTAAAGCTCTCGCTCGTTCATTTTTCAGTCTTTCGTCGTCTTTTAATAAATTGACTAACTGCTTAGCCTTTTCTCTCACATTCTGTCCTTGATCTTTTCCTGAAAGTTGTACACTATATAATATCCTTGAAGGCGAGAATAATTTTAAATATTTGCTATAGATTTGTTATAAACAAGTTGAAAATCCATTTTTGGTTATCATTATCGCGATCGAAAAGAATCTCTACTAACCTTCTTCTAAATATTGGAAATCCTTCAATGTTTGAATTGCAAATATATTCTCTTTACATTGCTGACCTACTTTTTCTGACCCTGTTTTAATTAGATATTCTAGCAGGACTAAGGCTTTGTATACGTGACGCCAATTTCTACCGTGATCATTTAGTCGTTTCCATACCTTAAAAATATTTTTTTAACAATTTGCGAATGTAGTTTACGATCAATGTTCAATTAAAAATTGATCAAAATTCATGAACAAAATATTTTTGCATAAGATTAAAGCAAATATCAATTTTACCTGAAATTCAAGTGAATGGGTCATTTGAAAAAGAATAGGTATAAGTCAAAATAATTAAATTTTCAGTAGACAAAAGATTTTTTTATACAAAAATATGTATTTTTTTTTAAATAACTAGATATTATGTAATATAATTTAATGGATTAGAAGATCTACAAATGGAAGTTGAAGAAAAAATATTTTACCCTCCATTTGTGCAGAAGAACAACTTTCTTAACCCCTTTTTTAACGCTTTTCCCTAAGCAAAAAAAAAAAACTTCGGCATATTTATGTTTGTGCGCCAACACGATAACTCTATAACGAAAACACTATTCCACCTGAGGTATTGACTTTACTTGATTATTTCTTCAAAGCTAGAACACTATTCAGAGATTGCGGTTTAACGTTAATTCTTTATATAACAGTATTTTTAAAATAATGCACTGCGACGCGGGTTGTGATTTCACGAAATAGCCACGCATGTCAACCGTAAAACCAGACCATTTTCTATATTGCTGTAATTCTTAAACGTCAAATGAATTAATCATTTTTTAAAAGTCTTTTGAAGGATTTTATTTAAGTGATTATTTATTATAACTGGAAGTGATAAGTGAAAACACGATATATTAGTGATGACGTAATTTGTGTTCCATTGTCAATGACAGTAGGATTATAAAAATAGGGGTTAACGTTTTATTTCTATTATTTTCAAGATTGAATTAATTTGAACATTAAAAACAATTAAGTACCAACCATTTGCATAATTTCGCTGAAAGCTACTACATTGTATGTAAGATCGGCTATTTCCGCCATTATGGTACTGCTCGGACCCCACGGATCGTTCGAGGTGGCTTCTCTAACCTTTTTCTGAGCATCTGAATAATTGTGTGCGAAATTTTTCAGATTTCGCCGTATACCTGCTACATTGACTTGCATATCGTTCGAACCTCGTCTCATCTACAAATAATATTACAAAATAATAATTAGCTATTAAAAAGTTCTTTAGAAACTCAACTTTGCTGTTAAGGCACGAAATAAATGTAAATAGTAAACGAAATTCAAATGTAACACCACCTGTGGTTAGATAACAAATACAGATATGTTGAAATAGATAATAATAGGTAAAAATAGGTAAAGTAAGCAATATTTATGTTATTTTGTCTTCTTCCAAATACTGAAAATGTGTCATATCTTGTTTGGAAAACATTCACAGTATATGCATACAGGAAAGGTCATTTTGTCAAAGTATATGAGTGCATAAAACACGTTAGGTGATATATATTTGTTAAAATGACCAAATGTATATGGCATAATTTAATTATGTAGATAAATGAAAGATTTTAAAAATTAATTCCTCATTTTTCCGTCAAAATCAACCCTTTCCCAACTAGAATGTTATAAACATACAGCGTGTACAAAAAGTAACTTGGTAATAATTCGATTTGTGATACGTTTACAAAAAAGTTTTAAATACGATAGATCGGAATGTTTTATAAATAAATCAGAAGATGGCGCTACTCGCGCGTATTGCTCACTAATTATGAAAGAGCCATTACTATCGATCGTTACTGTAGATCTAAGTAAAAATTCATGCATTTTCTTTGCATTATTTATTACATTTTGATTCACGTCCCCTTAAAAACCACCAGTGCATTAAAAGAATCAAAACAAAATACGTAAATAGTGTATATTAGTACCTTTAGAACAAACCAGACCTCTCGCAAAAATAAAACAATGTGAGTTTTCTAATATAAATTTGTATTTACAAGCGCGCCACTGGAAATATTTCGCGATGTTATTTGTCGCGAGAATATTCAGAGCTTTAAATTTGTGCAACGACAAGGCAGCACTCTACAGAGACATTTAAGAAAAAAAAAAAAAGGTGAAAGAATTATTTAGATATTGAAATAATTTGAAAATTCGGAAACTAATCTCAAAAATCCCCCTACGAATTTTATCAAGACCATCCCCGAACCACAAAAGAGAAAACAACTTGCAGATTTGAAAAAAAGAATTTCATCGTGGGATTCGAATCCAGACATCTTTGTTCTGTACACAAATGTCCTACCTCTAGACCACCCATGTCAAACATTTTCCTGTGGAACGAATCAATTTTAAAAAATGCCAGAGTTAATGCGGCCTTTTTTATTGAAAATTTAATAAATATACTTGTTCTGTAATAGTGCTTTTTTCCGTTAAGATTTTTAGTACTTAGTTAATTTTCTTTAAGATTAGGTTTTGCGGCACACCTAGTTTGCGGTCTTCATGCTTTTGGCTCACCAGTGACTTTGAGTTTGACATGTCTGCTCTAGACCATCACGACATTGACTGTCGTTCCAGGCTCGTTTTCAAATCTTGAAATACCTCTATACAGCGTCGGTGTATATGAGAAATGCATTGATGCATACTGAGCCCGTATCTTCGTCTACGTGAGTTGTTTTCAAAATAAGATTTATTAAAAAAAAATCAAGGTTTCTCTACCCTAAGTTTTATTTCCTGAAAATTTAATAAAATCCGACTAAAAATAGAGGCGCTCAGGAGGAATTAGAAGTTTTCTCTTAAAATATTATCCAAATTTTAAATTTGTTACTTCGTTCGAAATATATTCTTGAAACCCCGCATCCTCTTTTTAGGTTAGATTAGGTTAAGTTGAAACATTAGTTAACTGTTTTCGATATAGACAAATACTACCCATTTTAAGTATTCTATCACCTCTGAAAGAATTGCTCAACAATTTTAGTTCACCTTGAATACAGGGTGATTCATAATGAATAATATTTTATCTGCCGATTCTAGGAGGATAGGATGAATCACTTCCAGCTTGACCTACAATTTGCAATGAATATGAACGTTTGTTTATTGAAATAATTAAAAAATTCAAAAAACAAATCTCAAAAATCTCCCGAATTATCAAGACCATCCGTGACCCCTTAAGGTGAAAACAAATACTTGTAGTTTTGGAAAAAAAAAACTGTCGTCGCTGGGGGGTCGAATCCAGACATCCATGTGTATCAGACATGTGTCCTTACCGTTAGACTATCAACGACATTGAGTGTCGAGATTCCTAAACGGAAATTTTGTTGTACTAGTTCTAGCTGAACGATGTTCAGCATTTGTGTATATGAGAAATGCTTTTATGCATACTAAGCCCTTAACTTCGTCTGTGTGTGTTAAGTTTTTAATGTACTTTAAGAGACGTAAACCTATGTATGAAAATTGTGAATTTATTATTGAGAAATCGCAAATCGAAACAAATGTTTACGTCTCTTAACTTACACTGAAAACTTAACTCACGCACACGAAGATAAAGACTCAGTATGCATAAATGCATTTCTCATATACACCAATGCTGAACATTAAGGATGCAACAACCCAGCACAAACGTCAAAAAATATAAAATTTTCAAAAATTGAAACTTTAGAAGACTCTAGGAAAAAGCAATCTTATAAAAAGCTATTCCCAAAGTTCTTACTGCAATTATCTGAACTTTCAAAATTTAATAATTACAGCAATTTATTTAGTTAACTGAACAGGGACATACGTTAAATGTGGTTGGAGAAATGTTAAAAAAGATACACAGGGGTGGTTGGAAAGTTATGAGCAGAGTCCGTACGTTAATAGGTCATTCCAGGTACGAACTACACTTTAAAACATTTGTTGATTTAATGTTAAAAAAATTCTGTTTATACTGATAATTTATGCACGCGTACAGTGTGCTGAATACACATCTGTTATTTACGTCCTGGGTCATAAGCATACTCTAGTTATGAGTCAGAAAGAATTAGGCAAAATTAATAAAACGTCCAGTATCAAGCTATCCAGCGCAAAACACCCATTAAGCACGGATTAGTCACTTCCATCCACAGATTATGTCCATTTCCCAATGCAACACCCCTAAATATGATGTGAATAATAGTATTCTACTTTTATCAACAATTATTGAATAGATTAAAGAAAATGTAAAATCTATACCACATCATTTACGGCTAAAAAAACTGTGCCCGTTTCTACGAATAATTAATATCCAATGATCGTTTTGCGGTAAGTTTCGATTAATTTTAGGTTATATCAAAATTATATATTGATTTATAATGAATTGAATTTGTTGCCACTGGCTATTTTAAAAAAATAAGAACAAAATTACTAAAAATTTTGATTTCCGTTAATTTTGTTTTGTATAAAGTGACGGATAATGTTTCAACAGTGTTAATTCTATAAATTTAGGGGTTACATAATATTATATACTAGTTCTCTTAGTGATTAAAATTAATAAACTTATTTATAGGACACTCTGTAGAATAGGAGATATCAACAACGACGAAAATTTGTCACAAAAATAAATAAATCAATATTTGCTATTAGCATTTTTTTTTTAAATTACTGAAGTACGTAAATTCCAAGGCATCCAATTTTTTCGTAACTTCTCAATTTCTGTCACCTTCCTATATGTTTTGAGAAAAAACAAAGTTCAGCAAAATAATAAGTTTCATTATATTATATCGCTAATTGTTTGTTTCTTTAACCTGTTATTCAATAAAACACATGAATAATTTACAAAAGTAGTTTTATTTCAAATAAAAAAAAAAACTGGTTGTGCGATAACGTAATAAATACCTGTCTTTAGATTACACTTGAAGTAAAATTTTCAAAACAGGTACGTCAAAACAAATTTCTATTGACAATAATAGGTACACGAATGTCGTGAATAGGGCAAGTAACATGTTTTATTAAAAACTATTTTGGTGTAAATTCGCTCTCTAAGCGGTTCAAAATTATGAATGTTGTAAAACTGCGAATTTATCATTTTAAAGTGATGTAATTTATATTGTTTTATCATTTTCTCATTTCCAATTATCATTTACTTTAACATAAACTTTTTCTACAATCTTTATATTGAAGACAGTTTTTTACCTCCACGAAAAAAACTCAAATTCTACCAAATATATAATTTTAATAAAAAAAAAATGATAAGGTAATTTGTTTTGCTGTTTTATAAAGTGACAAGCATTCCAATGGCATATAGTGAATCATGTTTATTTATAGTTTGTTCACTAGCAAAGCAATCTTCTACAAAAAATTAAAAAATGTCTTAAATAATGGAAATTCTGTTTACACGAAGTAGGCAGCAAATATTAATTTTAGTGAATTGATAAATTTTCGAAGTGAAACTCAAAATGCTGATAGAACCTGGTATAATGAATTAAAAAGTCTCTTTTCTTTCTACCGACCTTTCGCGCTCCCGAAATCGACGCAGAGCAGAGCTCAGACAGAACAATGGGCAAAACGTTGAAAATTTGTTAACTGGCATTCGTTTTCGTTAGCATTCTTTTTCCGCAACCAGTAAATTGTAGAGGAAGGTAATTCAGTCTCCGATCTCTACTTAGATTCCGATTTAAGTTCTTTTCTGATTTACACTATTTATATAGGTAAATAAAATATTTCCATACATTCATTCAGCCGTATGTCCCGAAAACCGAGTGAAATCAGAAGAAATCAGTTCATTTTCCGTACTGTTTGTTTTATTTTTATTCAATTTTTTTTTGTATTTACAACCTTATCAGTATTTTCGAATCACAAATCCGAATTTCGTCTGCTAATTTTACATTAGTGTCGAGAACCGTGTAAAATAATTTAATTAATTTTAAGTAAATATTAGCTCCGGGTTATTTTTTTTTTTTTTAATAAATAGAATTTAATTTGTTTTAAGAAATATTTATGCTAAGTAATAATTGTTTTGACTTCCGTTCCTTCTCAATTCTGTTAGACCTTGTCTTATTTGTACATTTCGATATTAAAATTCCCTGAATTAGAGTTTTGTCTGAGTTGTTATTGAAGACAATGACTACTCCCGCAATAGAATGGGATAATTTGGTAACCAACTCAGATAATGTTCCGGAATTGCTATTGAACTGAAGTGAAGCTTAGCTACTTTCGCTGCCGTTTAGTACAAGTCTGTA